TTTATATTAGTGTGGGCAATGGACTGGAAACAGAGTTCTGGAATGAAAGCTGGAAAGGGGATGATAGCCTGAGGAACTTATTCCCTAACCTCTACACCTTGAGCTTACAAAGATCTGCTACTGTTGCTCAAGTATGGAGCCAACAAGGGTGGAACTTAGTGTTCAGGAGGGCTTTGAATGACTGGGAAATCGAGGATGTGGCCAGGCTACTAGAGGTGCTAAACACCCCTCCAGCCATATCTCAAAGAAAGGATAGACCAATTTGGAAGTTACATAGCAAAGGAATGTTCACAGTCAAATACCTGCTACTGGAGGATAAATGTCAATCAGTGAGTGACTAAAAAATGGCCTTGGAAGCTAGTGTGGAAGACAAGAAGCCCATTAAAAGTAGCATGCTTTGTCTGGTTGGTCATAAGAAAAGCTTGCCTTACACATGAGGCATTACAAAAAAGGGGGATGCAGTTTTGCTCAAGATGCTTTATGTGTGAGCAGAAGCAGAAGTAAATTTTCATTTGTTCATTCACTGTAAAGCAGCTTCAAAATTGTGGAATATGTTTTTGTGTATACTAGGGGTTAGCTGGGTGATGCCAAAGACAACCATGGAACTCCTTAATAGCTGGACAAGAATTGGCAACAGAGGGAAAAGTGAAGATTGGTGGAAGACTATTCCAGCCTGTATATGGTGGACTCTATGGAAAGAAAGGAATGCTAGGTGTTTTGAAGGACAAAATGATAGTTTTCAGAAGATAGAAATGAAATGCTTAAGTCTTTTATTTTTTGGTGTAAGCAAGAGTTGGTAGGGGAAAGCATAGAGATGGTCGATTTTAAAGGAAACTTGTAATTCTGTATGGCTTTTTGAGGGTGTGCACACCACCTTGTGGGATGTAAGTTTCCAATTCATCATCCCTTGGATGATGAAATTTTTGTGAATACAAAGTTACCTTTATCTCAAAAAAAACAACTAACAAGTTTAAAGTGGTCTGAAGCAACTAAAAGTCTAAAACTAGTCATTCAATTCCAAAACATACCATATGTTATTGTCTCACTTCATCGAAATTTAGAGTCCGTTTGGCGTAACTTTAAAAAAGTAGCTTTTTAAAAGTAGTTTTAAAAAAGTCAAACTTTAGTAACTTCTAAGTTAAAAAATGAAAAGTAGGAGAGTATCTACTTTTAAGTTTTTTAGTCATTTTAAACTTAATTTAAGTTATTTTTTAACTTTGCCAAACACTCTAAAAGCTAAAAATGACTTAAAAGTAGGTTTGACCAACTTTTAAGCCAATCCAAAATGACTCTTAGTCTTAAATAAGAAATTATGTTGACAAGACACCAATAATAATATTGAAAGTTCAAAATAATCGGTCACCAATAAAGTTCTCTTCATAATATAACAACAATGCAATTACCAACTAATCCCAGAAGTTCTCTTCAGAAGCAATGTCCTTTTCAGTTTTTAATGAACTTCAAGCTCTGTTCTAGACCAAACACCATAGCTAACAAAGAAGAAATCAAGAAGATCTTCCCAACTAATGCTTCAGCCTACAACGAGTGGAATCTTTCAGTACAATTACAATTCCTACAACAAAGAGTGAATGATGTTTAAAACTTAGCAGAAGCCAGCCCCCAAGGCCTAGCTTGAGTGGCAAAAGGTGGAGGATTTGTGGCTTAGGTCGCAGGTTCAAGCCCCACACCATGCAAAGCAAAGCCCGGTATTTAAGTGGAAAAGGGTAGAGGGGCGGGCCCATTATCCACCGAGTTTAGAAGGCTGTGATTGGTCTAAAGGGCGGGTCACAGACGGATTTCTCGGTTAAAAAAAAAAAAAAGACTTAGCAGAAGCCAGAAAGGGCCTGAGGTAACTTGCGACTAGAAATCAAGAATGAGGGATCTCTGGTGCTACATGTCATATCTCTAGAGAATTTAGAGTGTCATTAATTAACCAAGTAAAAAACTATTTTATTTTGCACTAAATAGAAACAAAACGCAAAACTATATCAAGTTCAAGTTGCATAAGGTCATCAAAATCTTCTTCAAGATTTACGGGAAGAGGCTCACTTCGATACAATCTTGAAGACAAACAAGGGCTTGCACCGATTTTGGAGTCAATGAACTCCTAAATGAATCAAGTATACGGGTCCTATGCTAAATGCACACCCCGAGGCCACACTAGAAATCATAATTGCCATCACATCATGAGCTATCTCGGAAAGAAATTCACCTCTGGGAGCATATCTATCCACCATTGCAAGATATCAAAATCATCACTATTGAGCTCTTGTTCATAACTACGATACTTTTCTAACTATGACTTATCACCCAAACATGTAGTATCTTGTTTTTTCCACTTTATTTCATGCCTATTTCTCACTTTTGTTGATTTTGTGTTAATGTTAGAGCTAGCTGTATCAGAAGTCTTATTCGGTAAATTAGAGAAAAGATGTATGTCGAGATGCATTATGTAATTTTTTTCTAGATTCTCTTCAAACATAAATTTCATATAAGTCATCACTTTATCTTATATTTTCCTCTCTTTTCCCTCTCTATACATATCCTCAAGTGGCTGCCAACATACTCGAGGTTGTTACGAGGATCTAAGATAGAGGCAACAAAAAGCATCTTATTCATTTTTTTAGAAGCACCCAAAACTTGACAAACTTCTTTGCGCTTTTTTCCATACAGTCTTTTAGATGATCGTGAAGCTCAATTATGCCTTCAAAGTGAACATTAGAACTGGCCTATGAGTGAACCTGAAACCTTCACAGTTAAGTCATAAATAAAACCTTTGAATAAATATTACCGTGCTTCACATTTTGCCAATTATTACTTTCAAGTACAGCTGCAACAATTCCATTTTCACAAACATTAGTAGCAAGATAAGTTGACAATCCACTATCCATAAGATCATACCTATCAAATGCAGTCTCAAAATGTTATGTTGTATCCAACATCAAGTAGGTAGAATTCCACCTAGTAGGAACATCCAAACATAATGACTTGAACATTCTATATTTTTGAGTTTACAACATTCATTAAATTTTCTAAACCTTGCAAGAGTTGGTCTAATATACTTTACCATTTCTCTTTACATGTTTGATAGATACACCAACTTCTTTCATGCCATCTTGCATAATAATAATATAAAGAGAATTTATGGGATTAGTTTTGACTGCACTATTTTATTATGAGGAGAACTTTTCAGTTGGTGATATAAAGAGAAACTCATTGAAAAAGACAACCAGTTTTGTAGGTTTGTTAAATAGAAAATCTTTATAAATTAAGCCCCCAAGGCCTAGCTCAAGTGGCAAAAGGTGGAGGATTTGTGGCTTAGGTCGCAGGTTCAAGTCCCACACCATGCAAAGCGAAGTCTGGTATTTAAGTGGAGAAGGGTAGAGGGGAGGGCCCATTATCCACCGAGTTTAGAAGGCTGTGATTGGTCCAAAGCGCGGGACACAGACGGATTTCTCGGTTATCAAAAAAAATAAAAAATCTTTATAAATTAATAATTGAATATTCAGTAGGAACATTTTTTTTTTTTGAACTTGGTAACTTTGTATTATATCACAAAACAGTACATGGGTCGTACTGTAACCTTATATACAAGTGTACTCCTGATTTCACTTCTCTACGTCTAAATTGAGTCTAACACATCAATAATAGAGACAGTGTCATTAGAGTATAACTGATTACACCAAAAGACTAAAAGTAAAATGCAGTTTAGTTTAACTTTCTGCACATTGTTCTCTATGCTCTCAAAACATCTTGAATTCCTTTCTTTCCAAACAGCCCACCAGATAGCCCCCGGGATAATTCTCCATCTACCTCTGTCCTTAGCATGTACACCTGCTTCCTCCTAGCATAGTAATGCCTTGGCCACCTTCCTGGGCATTGTCCAGGAGATGCCTTTGAGGCTTAGGAATATTCTCCACAGATGATGGGTGTACTTGCAATGTAAAAATAGATGGTTCAGTAGGAACATTAATGTATATAGATTCTTTAGTTTAAACCTTCTTTAGTTTAAAAAAAAACCTTCTTTGGTGGGATGGATTGTTTATCCAAAGAATATAGCGAGTCTGTACGAACCTCTGCTGAAAAAGCCGGTAAAACCCCCACATCTAATGAGTAGAGAAGTAACACAACCAAAGGAACAGTCTAAATCGAAGATATAGCTCATAAAGTGATCACATAACATTGTAAGCCAAAATGTATTCCCTTTAGATAGATAGTACATATATTATACTTGATATAAAGCATAGGCAGGGAAAGAAGCAGCAGGATTGGCAACGATCTGAAGGGTTAAATCCAATGGTTTTGAGATATTTAGTGTCTTCTTGTAGTATACACATTGATTTAAAAACAAACGAAAACCCTTCGGGGTGGCCTAGTGGTTTGGGCTTGGGACTTCCATGTTGGAGGTCTCAAGTTCGAAACCCCTTGCCAGCGAAAGCAAGGAGTTTGCCTTCTGGGTCGAGCTCGTCGCACCAGGCTTGCCTAGTGCGGGTTACCTCTCCTATGTGGTTTGCGAGCTATTGCATAGGAGCGAGAGTTTTACCTTGTGCGCACCAAAGGGTAGCAGCTGTGGGTTTCCCTTGTCATAAATAATTAAAAAAAACGAAAAGAGAGTTCAAATATATAGAATCCTGCCTAGGTTAGGTAAATCCCAAATTACCCGAAGTTTGATATTTGATATCTACTTTAATTGTCGATTATCGGACTCTATAAATAACAGACGGCTATTGCGTCTTATCAAAATGAGACAGTGAAGTAGGTTTCTGTTTTACTTATGGATATAAACCATGTACAGCTGCTTATAAAGCTGTCTTTTTTCGTGAAATATTTTGCAAACTTCTCCTACATTGTTGTTCTACCTTTTTTTCTTTTGGTGGTGGGGTGGGAATGGTACAAACGTGTGCCATATTTTATTCTTTAAAAAGGTCTTGGTGTCCACGTTACTGTGTTACCCCATTTTGAGGTATATATTGATGCATATATCGATGCCATGATTGCAGGCTGTCCCCGTGGTGGAGCGGATCTCCTTGTGCCCATTCTTTTGTTTTTTGTCTCTATATTGTTTTGAAGAGATTTGCCAGAAGCTGATCCAGTTTGAGTTAGAGCCCTGTAGGTACACTGAGTGACCAGATAATGTGTATATATACTTTCGAATATCCTTCCTCAGTTCCTCGTGTATAGTTTGCTGTCTTTTTGGTAAGTCAATTCATGGTTTTGCAATATTAGACTGTTCTACAGACTGCTTGCAAGCCTTTTTGTCAGTACTTCTAATGCTTTTTTTTTTTATTTAAAAGAAGGATAAAGAAAAGCAAAAGCACATTGCAGAACTTGGTCCTCCTGCATCGATGAAAAAAATAACATAAAAAAAGAAACAGACAACACATGAAGAGATGTGAATTGTTTTTTCATTGCTAAGCATATCATTTTTGATAGTATTTTGCTGAACTTGATGATCTTCGTAAGCAAATTCTAATACAATGTTGATTCGGCCACAATCAAGACCATATCCAATTGTGCAAGAGTTAAGGTGCAGGTAGATTTGCCAAAATCACATCTTACCAAAAATAAGGTTAACTGCAGTGACATAATGAAGAAAATGTTCAGAGCTACGAAAAGAAGAAGGAATCTTATGAAAGACAAGAGTCTTTACTATGTCAAAGAACTACGAATTTGTAAATGGTGTACCAATCATTATTCTTCAAGCCTGACCAATATCGAAACACAAAACAAGTTTGAAGGTAACCAATAACTACTGTAGCAGAGATTGTGAGCATAGACAACAAGGAGTTAGGAGAACCAGACGAGACAATTGATACATCTAAAGTAAGATAATACTAGGGAGTCTCAAGTACTATAACAAATTAGCTCCACCAAGAATCTTTTGGGATTGTAGGAACTCAACAGTGAGTCAAAGAAATGGGAGATAAGAGGATCTGGTAGTTACAGTGAAAACAAATATGAAAATAAGAAAGAATGGACGTGACATAGAAGCTCCAGATGAGAATGAAGAAGCTACATACACAGGACATGATTTGGATAACAAAACTATTGTGGTGGCTCCAATAACATCCTATTCAGGAAGTGAATAATCAAGAGATACAGGTGGGAACTCATACCCTCCCAAGACATAATTAAGGAAACTGAAGTTGATCATCAGGGAGCTACTCATAAAAATAAGTCTCCCAAGACAAGAACATTACTTTACGACTACTTTTTCATTTTAGTTCGACTTGCATCTATTAAGCATATAGCTAGCGTTCCTTTGTGGATCTCCATATTTCATTTCCTTACAGGCTGATCACCCCTTTCTACTAGTTCTTACATAAGCAATTTGTAGGAAAGTCTTTCCTTCTGAAATCCACTCCTGAAGTCAGATAGTCAGAAAAAGTAGTCTCCTATTAGAAAGTTGCATGATACAATAACCCACAATGTTGAAGAGGAAGAGGAAGACGAAATGAGTCAACAGTTAAACAGAGGGTGAATCAGATGAATACAACAATCTTACATCTCCCCAAAATCAAAAGGAGGAAAGAGAGGTAGGATACAACGCGACACAGATATTCAACAACCTTCTGGGTAAAGCTTTCCACTGATTATGATTTGGATCATCAGATTAGTGTAGACACAACAATCTTTCCACTGCTTACAAATACTTCATAGGCATCATAGATTCACTCTGATTGCACTTGTGGAGCCATTTCATAGAGCTACACAAATTTAAAAAAATACAGAAGAGGACCAGGAATGGAGCAATCTGGCAGCAATTGCAATGGAAAAAAAAAAGTTTCTTTGTGGAGGTTGAAGTAGTTATGGATACATCTCAACAAATCACATTGAAACTGTTTTTATAGGAATGCAATATGTACTCTTTTACCACTTTGATGTATGCTACATGTTCCGACTGTGAAAGTTTGAGGCTTTGGGATAATATCGATCAACTGGTCAACACAATGTCCTTGCCTTGGCTAGTGGGCGGGGACTTCAATGAGATATTAAACGAGGAGGAAAAGATTGGGGGTTTACCAGTAGTGCCTCAAGAATATGAGGACTTTGCCTTACTGAAACTACTTTTACAACTTCAACCATTACCTTACAACATTAACTGCATTTTTACCAGTTGAGGCACTTGCGATCTAGTGCCTTAAACTGTTGTAACCTTTTACAATCAATCTTTGACATATACAGTACACCGATAGCAGATTAAGCCCGATCCAGCAATATTGCATGTATGAAGAAGGGCAATGCCACTTGTAAGCTCTTTTGTCGAGTGTGAATCATGACAGGACTCAAGGAAGGTCTATTCGACACAAATTCCGTGTTAATGAAAACTTTTCACCGGAATCTTTCACAAAATTTCAACTGATTTTGTTCTTCTATGATTCTAATCCATGTATACGTGAAATCCTCGAATTCCTGCCCAGGCCATACAACACAAGAAGCATTTCCGTGCTGGATAACTAAGAGCCATTTGTCAAAAAGCAATTACTGCTGCCTGAGCTACCTACAGTGCATGACACGTCTTGAACGAGAAATTTTACATTACGGGTTCCAAGAATGTCGAGTATTTCCAAACACTCGTTCAAGTCTGCATCATTTACCAACATCACCCATTCCTCTTCATCATCAAGATAGTGGAGATGGAACGTCCCTATCTGCAGTTTGAACCTCTTTGCAACCTCTTCATAGAGTTGGAAGCACCCTGCTGAAGGCTCAAATTTAAATCGGATTTTATCTTCCATGTAACTAGCTTTTACGGTGATTTGTGAGCCACCATCCTCAACTGTTGTATGTTTTCTCTCACCAGAACTACGGGAGCTAGACGAACTTCCATTCATCGTTGAACGGGACGTATTTGACGAATCTGTCACACCTGAAGAACTCACCTTGTTATGTTCCATAACACCATCATCTCCATCCATTTCGATACTTCCTTTCATCTTCTTCTCAATATCATCAGTATTAGCCATGGAATCAGGGCATCGGCTGATGAAATGGCAACCAGAATTGTCCAACTTTAAGTTGCTTGTGTTCAAACCACAGCTCCTCCATCCTCCTTTTGTATGGAAAGAATCCAGTGACACATTTACAGAACTGGTGCATGGCACTGTGTCTGGATTTGCAGGCAAGGATGACCTTCTATCTAATGCAGCCAATTTGGAGCCATGACAAACTCCAGACAATGAACTATTTGGTTTATCCCCAACCCTGAAAGAGCTAGGACTGAAATGACTAGACTCTGGTAGTTGGTTTCCATCCACATTCAAGTCCTCTTCCATTTTCACCAGAGAGTCGTGGTTGTCAACGCATGAAGTTTGGAGCGCAGACACAGCATCTTGGAAAAGGAATTCAGAACTTTCTATTGAGACATCTTTGCAGGGAAAGAGTGTTCTTTTCTGAGAGTCGAAATCTTGAAGGATAGATGTTGCTGCAACTAAACCTCCAGTGACTGTATCAAACTTCAGTCCTCCTTCTATCCCTTGGACTGATTGAAGCACTGTCCGTATCTTTACTAAAGAACGATTCACTTTACTTATCTTCCGGGATGGCCATCTTGTGATCCCATACTGCCGACATATCCTTTTCAATGTAGTTGGACACACTACAAAAACACATAACAAACAAATGTTACAACCATCTTTTACAAGATCATATAATTTTGTGCTTTCAACTTCAAACAGTTCTATATGTACTACTCTTTTTATATCGTAAAGAGTCCGCACCCTTTGGTAATGTCACTTTTCTTTAAAGAAATATCACTGAAGAACAGAAATCACGTAAACCTTCTGACATCCATTTTTTGTAATAACCATCATGTTAAATTTCAAGACACTACTACCAGATACAAAGAAGTAGAAGTTGTACTTGGCGCAAAGAAAAATAGAATATTTGACTCGGGATAGGAGAGTTTGGATGGGCTGGTAAGATCCCCAAAATCAACGTTAGAAGGGACAAGAGACGGTACTCAATAAGTGTATATTAGCCCCAATTGGGACGGCCTCAAAAATCTGATGATGTCCATAAAGTTTTTGCAAGGAATATCTGAATCACAAAATAATAACCCAATGGAAGAGGACAGATACCAACATAATAATACAATTTTCCAAAATGTCCAAATTAGTTGATTGTTTCCACTTGACGAGGGTATATGTTCTTACCACCAATGCTTTGTGCAGCATTCTTGAGGCTTCCAGAGAAGTGTTGCTGAAGAACACTCAAGCTGACATGTTTCTCTGCTGCGCTTCTTTTTTTCTCTGTCCGTTTTCTTGATACACTTGGTGTCTACAATATGAAATGCAATAACTTCAGTATTGACAAACAAAAGGGATGAAATAGGACTCAAAAAACACATAGAAGGAACATAGTTTATCTAGGAGCACATAAACTAAGAGTTATTGAAACACAACTATCGAGAGCGCAAGACAATTGTTCAAGAACATGTAAAAAGGGAGAAAGGAAACAGGATACTCGAGCACAGTGTAAACATAGACTAGACAACAGAAGGAAGACAAGTTGAGCGATAAACCTGTTTGTGAGAAATATTAGCTTCTATTCCAGCTCTCTCTGGATCACATACATCTATAGGAGCTTTACTCAAATCTAAAGTGCTGTCTAATAATGATTGCCCAGAACTCTTCCTTGACAAGTCAATTGGTGGTAAATTCAGAACAGATTCACTCTGTAACCCACACTTCTCACCCCCTTCTCCAACTAATTCTGCATCTGATAGTGTTCTCAGACTTCTGCAAATTCTCTGCATGGTGCGTGAGAGGTTATTTAAGAGAAGCTGTTGTTCGGTGCTTCCCTCCATATCGACAGGAAGAAAGAACTCTAATACATAATCATCATCACCGGTGAGTACACTACGTAATCTGATAGCCACTGCAGCATTTAGACCAAACTTCCGTGCATGATGAACAAGTGGATACTCATTTATATGGTACTCTTTCACATCAGGGTAGAAGAAGGGGTGGTTTGATTGGAGGGATTTCCCAACAATACCTTGTCCTTCTTCGAGATCATGTCCCATACATGCATGAAGAAATCCTTGCATCTCCTTGTCACTCACATAACAAGCTGTATTCTCAACACATAATACACTTTTTTCATCTAAGCTTGTAATGCTTTCTCTAGCATGCGCTCTTATTTCACCACCACCTCCTCTACAACTACGGGGAATCCATGTCAAAGCAAGAGGCAGTCTATGAGCATGGCAAACTGCTCGCAGAACATCTTTTACCTCAGCTAAAGCAGCTCTTTGATTCTTGGAGAGACTCTGCAAGGAAG